TGTGAATAACCTGCACTAACGATTCTTGCCAACAACATCAAAACATACAAATTGAATAACAATAGAACAGAAATGGTCCTGGTCATCAATTCTGCACCAAGAGGTCTTCTCAATCTTATGTAAATTGCATAAATTACAAAGTTCAGATTATTTGGTGTACTAGTGAAGAGAAAATGGAGAGTTTAAAAAAGTCTTCCACAATTNTGGTGTACTAGTGAAAAGAAAATGGAGAGTTTAAAAAAGTATTCCACAATTCACCACTACTTTATGCTATATACTATATACAATACCTCACATATTCAACACTTCGGTTGAGGCATATATTCTTCAGTGTACAGATGTAATTATCAAAGAAATACCATTTGGATACTGAGGTTCAACTGCAACCATAATACTCAATCAATAGCACTAGCCAACTTTGCTGGTATTTAAACTTGATAAATCACATCCTACATTTTTTAAATATCAAATACTCACACAGTTTATAAAAGAGGCAGTAAATTGATATGAAAATTCGAGAATCGTCAGTGTATTGAATATCCCAGTTTCTGAATATCAACAAACGGTTTCAAATTCAAAGTTGACGTAAAAATATTCAATCTGAAGAATATTCAAGACATTGCAACAACCGTATCCACAACTTTGCCAACCTGCCCTAATAACCAGCGGGTTTCATAAAAAAAAAGTTAAAAAAAAAGATGAATAACAGAATTCATCAAAATGTATACTCAAATAAAAATGTGATTGGAAATCATAAAGCTAGAATCATGTCCAGCAAAAATACTTTTAAAGAACCTAACACATTTCACTGACATATCCATTATTTCTCTGTGTTCCTATGTACATGAGATCCAGTCTCATCTTTCTTCAAAAACCACTTTGGAACAGGCCACACACTACAGTTCCCTCCCCCTCCGCCTCTCCAGGGACATAAATACGAGACCCTATACTGTGGACCCAGAGTCCTTGCTTGAGACTACGCAGAGAACCTTGCGGAGACCAGTAACAAAACCTGGAGCAGATTGAGACCTTGGCGTCAAATCACAAAGCCCTTGAATTGGAGTAGGCAGACTAAGTCCTCAGTGTATCGCTTCAAAGCTGAAACGTCAAAACATACGCACGCACGCAAAAATTTAAATTTTGTGTTATGAGGTATGGTTCATGTTGAAAATACATTCCTCCAAACGAACTTCATTTATTTGGACTTCTTGCAAACTATCTTATCCGTTTTGCTCGATGATGCAGGTTTTGATGCCGAAGGCATGTGTTTTCAACAAGACAGGGCCTCATCATAATAGCCTAATAGGGAAAAATGTTTGAATTGAAGCTTTCCAAAGCATTGGATAAGCAGGAGTGGACCTCATAACTTACCTACTAGATAGACCCTCTTTAACCCAGCCAGAACCAAATTGATTGAAATTAGCAATTTCTTTCAAATATGTTTTGCTTTAAGATTATAACTCAAAAATTAGGAGGACAATATAGGCTTTCACGGCTGACTTCAATGTTGGTTTCCGGGTTTTCAAATGGTCTTTTTTGGTTATAATTATCAAACGTTTCAACTGCAACTGTGGCAGTCACCTTCAGTGGCGTGGTCAAGGTATTTTTCTTGACGTGTCAACTGAAACCGAAGGTTTCATTTCTGCCGTGTCATTTATAGTGCGATTTGGGTGACTTGGCTTCATTTTGGCGCTTTTCAATGCTGTGTGCCAGATCTTTGATAGATACAGTGTGTCTCACTTCTCATGGAAACACCCCCGTATCTTCCGTAATATTCGAGGTAGAACGATGAAACTCTCTCAGGACTGATGGAAATGCTCAAAATGCACCTACCACCTGAATGAGGTTGGCCAAAGTGACATACACTGTCCGCCACTCGCGATGGAACACCCCATTTTTACGGTAAAACATATTAGGGTGCAAAATAGGCTCAAAATTCCTTCAGATTCGTGATGAGGACTACCAACTTACTACGAATACACTTTTTTCCTGAAAAAATTTCAGTCCTGAAAAATCCAAATTTGTCTCACTTCTTATGGCAACACCCCCGTATCTTCCATAATATTCGAGGTGGAACGATGAAACTCTCAGGACTGATGGAAATGCTCAAAATGCACCTACCACCTGAATGGGGTCGGCCAAAGTGATATACACTATCCGCCACTCGCGATGGAACACCCCATTTTTAGGTAAAACATATTACGGGGCAAAATAGTTCGCTTCCAATACCTTCATTCTATCTGGAGAGTACTTTCAGGTATGAAAGATACAGATGCTATCATCCATTTTGAGCCTATCTGAGGAAAATGTCACAGCACCACATTCTCAACTTTATCGAGATAGTGTGAAGCAGTGTATGAAAAATTATCGATGGCGTCATCTATTACAACTGAAGAAGATTATTCGAAAATCTAATTATGTTTGCTGGACATCCAAATTCCTGTTGACCAGTTTTCATTGCATTTGTTGTTTCTAGTATTGTTTTTCTTTGAATCACCGTTGTTCCTGTTGTTTCTGCCGTGTTTTTGTTCCCATTGTGTTGGATATTGTTCCTGTGTTCCAGTTGTTTTCTGTTCGTGAGTTCCTGTTCATATTACTTCATCTGCACTGTTGAGAATAACTTTCAACGGCCTATTTTTGTTAGCATCAAATTTACCTAATCTAAAGGTTTTTTTCACAATGACGTCTGCCGAGAGGTCACCCAATATGTGCCACACATTATTTGTATCTTCTTCTGCCCTGCGAGTTTGATTCCTTTCAGAAGATTCTTGAATATTTGTAATGATTATATTTGTTGCCCTAACCTGTCTCTCTTGGATTTCTTGAACTATTTTGTTAATATTAGTCATTAGTAAAGTTTCCATTCCTGATACTTTCGCTTCTTGTATGAAGTTGTGAAGATCTTCATTAATCTGGATGAAAACTGTAATAAATATGTGTATCGTCGGCATAGCAATGAGCAGTGCAATGTTCAAGAGATTTCGGAATTGTTGAGGTATATAAAGAAAACAAGTGGTCCTAATACAGAGCCTTGTGGTATACCGGGTTTGAGGTTTAGGATTGTTGAACTGGCGTTGTCAATAAACACTTTTTGTTTCTGTCCGAATAAATATGTCTCAAATAACTTAATTGCTGCTACTGGTAAGCCTAAATAGTGCAGAATAGCCAAAACCTCACGCCAGAATTTAAAGAATCGCTACTTTCGCACAGGCACCGCGCTTACAGCGCCTTAAGGATTTTCCTGTATTGCTTGTGTTTTGTCTTGAAAAAAAAATTAAAGAACATCAATTTCTCAATCAAAAATAACTACTGAATTTTTTGAATATTTAGATTTTCAATTTGATAACACCTTATCATTCAACCAGCATTTCGAAAGTATTATTCAGCCTCAATTGGGCTATTGTGCAATAGTCTTATATAATTTTGACGGCACTGAATTAGTGCAACTGTAAAAACTCAGAATCGAGGAATGCGAATAAATTTGAGATACCATCAACCTCTCAATCAATAATGACTACTGAATTTGTCGAATATTTAGTTTTTCAGTTTGATAACATTTTACCATTCAATCAGCATTTCGAGATTATTGCGGAAAAACTATACTGATAATTTAAACTTTCAAAACAAGAATCACCTTTTATAGAAGTGTTATTCAACCTCAATTTTAATTGTATTGAATTACCGCAACTGCAAAAACTTCAGAATCGAGAAATGTGAATAAATTTGAGATACAATCGTTATACCCAATTAGCAGTAACTTTTCATTTACAAAATACTGAATAAATTAGCACCACTCTATCTATACGACTCCATTACATTCAATATAGAAATTCATGAATATTTTACTCGGAATATGAATGATTTGCTTATATGCGGGGTTAATAGCACTGAGTTTATGGTTCTGTTTTTGAAGGTTTCAACCAGTTTAATTATTTGCCTGTTGATGTTATATCTGCAGACATTTTTACATCTTTTGAAACACAAAAGAAATTTTATATTGTAATAGGTACTATTATGATTTTCAGGTGTGTCTTTACTTTAAACCACGTCTGAAGAAGCCATTGTATGACGAAACATGTGTTGCGTTTTTGTAAAACTGTTTAGGTGAAAATCTCACAATAAAGTGTTTTTCAAATAAAGAATATGGACTCGGGAATATATATAATGCATATGTCCAAGGATTGTGGTCTAAAGGAGATTTAGAAGAAGCTTTTGTTGTTGCAATGATGCGGAATTGTAATAGAAGTGAAAAAAAGGCCATAAAGGAAAAATTGTTGCATGAAACTTACAATGCAACATATTTCACGGTCGATGAATAAATAATTTTGACTTGAAAATGGTCTAATAAACTAAAACCGGTCGTAACAAATAATAATTTTAGAAGAAATTAGACAAAAGTTATTTTCTTTATTCTATATTCGAATAGATTTGCCTTATATTATTTGCTTTTAGCGTCTTTCAAAATAAGTAACAATTTCTTCTTCTCCTCTATTATTTCTTTCAAATAATCCTCACCTCTACCTCGGTTTTATCCCTTCAATTTCAAGTTGAACAGTTTCAAGAGTGATCTGTCACTATGAGATTTTTCAATTCTTCAATTTATCCAAGTACGTTTTAATTTTTTCATGGTACCGCTATTTCCTGTTACGAGTTTTGTTAAAATGTTGGCCGCCACAACTAACTTCCTCTAAGCATAGCAATAATACTTTTGTATTGCGATATTGAATCATCACCACACCAATGGTCAAACTTTTACGATAAACGAGCAGATTCAAAGAACTTCGACAGCCTTCAATTGGGCTATATATTTATGAGAAAGTCGAGTTGCAGGAAGAGATTCAATCAGTTCGATAAATAGATCAATAGTTCTTGGGCAGTGTAATAGATATTTAATCTAAAATGATGAAAATTTAAAAAAAAGAGATGATTTTAAAGATTGTGTTTGGAAACCTTTCCTATAAACCAAACAGACAACCTTAGAATCTATTAGAGAACAATTGATTCAGTGAAAAATTAATGCTTATCACTCACCATTCGGAGTTTCTGTGGTAATAGTAACCTTCAATGTTGGCTTTCGATTTTTGAAAACATATATAATAAAAGCCAGCAAACGATGCCCCACTTATGTCTGTTATTGTATGATCAGGAACTAAAAAATGCTCCTTCCACCTCATGAAAACATGATCAGCATCAGCCAAGGCTTTATAGTCGAAGGAATCGGTATTGAAGGTTTTGGCATACTGACTAAACAGTGGAAACTTACTCTGCAAGATGAAGATTTATAGTAAAACTGAATAAATGTACAACATATAGACGTACCCAATGCTTCTTATCAACATCTTCATCGGCATCCCACTTTCGTGTGAGAAAAGGATACTTTTGGCTTATAATTTCTCCATCAAAAAATGTCGTCAGTGTTGGATATTCATCAGTCAAACCATTTATTTGTAGATAACCACAAAGATATGAATTTTCTTCATCAACATGCTGTGAAGGAAAAAAATGAAATAAAAAAAATTCAAGGCTTCACCCATATGTTGTCAATGAATATCAGCACTAAGATATTTATGATATAAAAGAAGCTCAGAAATAGACATATATAAGGAATAATATTAGTACAATGAGGATTCAAAGAAAATTCAAAAGATTTGTGCATAAATGCAATTCTAACCTGGAAAATGACTTCCACTTCGTATCTGTTTCCTTTGGACTTTTGAAATCCTTGAAATCTTGATCCATTATAAAGTAGAGAATTTGTAACGCCTGGTTGTTTAGAGTTTGCCGGCGGGGGAGGCGTTATATCCACCCTAACCGGCATTTTCTTCAATATATTTAAGTTCAATATCTTCAAAAACGTCAAAAAACAAACAATGGTAAAGTGACTGGTAAGATGAATGCGATGATGACATAATATGGACTGACCATTGAAGAGAAAACATTGACTTCAACAACTAATAAAAGATGAAGAAGATGGCATTCACGTCACATACACTCAATGTCAGATACAACGTTGCGATGTTTTACGTGTTGCATATTTACATTGTGAAAGTTTTGGAATTTGATTTGTCATATGGTGATGTGACGCAGTGGCCATGACTCAAAGACGTTGTGTGATCCGCAGGTGAAATATAGGTACAAGTGACGTCACGATTAGTCCATATTGTTATGTCTATGGGTGAATGATGAAGTACAAAAAAACATATCAGATGGTAAAACACATGCCAAGTGAAAGGAAATGGCAAGGAAAACTATTTTTAGGACGAACGTCTCCCGTTTGGAATGGGGGAGAGGGGGCGGGGGGGAGTTTACCTTTTTTTCTAAAATGTTATTTGGAAACTTCCTACTTTCAACTTCAAACGTTTTCTTTATATTAACTGCTTGACCTGTTCTGACCTTATTCACAATTCACAATATTTCGAGTTGAGTGTGTGTATTTATATATGAGAATAGTAAAGTTAATTCGACTAACTGGTAGAAATACACCCCATACGACACGATACCTGTGAAACAAACAATTAAATTATAAGAATTTCTCCATTTTGGGGTTTTGACATCCTATTTCTCGAATTATTGATTTTTTATGAAAATGTTAGGTATGGAAATCATCCCTTCGAATTTTGACCAAGCATAAAAGAGGTTTTGCGCTAGTGATTTAGATAAAACGCATTCCTCAATATTTGATATACAGAAGGGTTCGTCAGGAATAATTTCTCTCGGCATATTCTTCATTCAGAACACAAAGTTCTCAAATATACCGATAGCGTTTTGGTGTTGGAAGTGATCTTCAGAATAATGGCAATAATGTGCTCTTTGAAAAAAGAGAAAGGATCTGAGTTACTACATTTTCACAGTTTTCCACTCGATTTCAGTTTTCCACACAACTAGAGATGTAAATTTACAGGGTGAATTGAGATACTCTTGTTAACTTTTATGAAATGCAAAATTAGATTCAACCAAAAAATTATATTTAATGCAGTTATCGTGCTTCTGGTTCCCTTTCAGTGGAAGAACTTTATGGAACAAGAGCCAAATCGATCCCTCTACAAAACCCTTCATCACTTGAAAGGATCGATTGCAGCTTGAGAATTGGTTCTGATGCAGATTATGTGGAACATGTTCTTCCTTGCGAATCAGTAGACAGTTATCCTGAAAATCTTGCGAAGAAAATTGGATTAGATAATTTACGAAACACATGAATAGCATTTTACCAGTGTTGTTCATGACGAAGAATTTCAAGGATTAGGTTTCAACGATGAACGAGAATTAGAATGTTTCCTACTTATTCACCAAACTCAAACACCTGTTCAGGAAGCTGCAGTTTCGTAAGAATGTATCATCTTTCCCACCAACCGATTTCCTGGAGTCTTTGAAGTCTACTAGATACTCGTTAGGACAACAAGAGGATTGTTCCCAATGCTTGAGGTTCTTGTTGAATAATCTTTGTTTGCAGGAAAATAGCAGAATCAATACAGACCGCTCTCGACTGAATGATTCCGTGCAATCCTAATATTACTTATTAGCGTTTCCTAATATTACTTATTATTGTTATTGCTAAATCATGTGGAAATAGAACTTTCAACAGGTGATGATCAGCTGTATAGCCAAATATGCGCCGAACTAACTGACTATTATAAGACAACAAGTATAGCTCAGGCACCAATCAATCTAATAATAACACTGATGATCTTCAAACATAACTCAACCTCTGAAGAAAGCATCAAACTCTTACGAAATTCAAGATATCTAGCGATATCTTGAATTTATTGAAGCCTCTGGAGACACCCTACATTTTATTCTATGAAAGACAGGACACTGGTAGATCAAAATCTTCAGATGATGTGGTGCTGCAGGATTGTTGTTTCCTAACTTGTATTACTTTATACCGGGTGATTCTCTACGGTGGCTCACCCCTAAAACTTTTTTATTATTGGAGATGGAGAAACGAAATTTGAAGGTTATGTATTATAGTTCAATTTACATTTTTTAACATATTTACTTGCTTTGCCGTACACACGGTTTGACCGGAAATTACCCCAACTTTCGATTTTTAAATAAGACATCCTATAAATTTTTATATATTTCGATCGAGAATGACATTCTTAATTCAACAATACTTCACTTGTCAATATTTGACAAATAAAATAATTTTTATTCCAATTTTTATTTAGTAACATGGGAAAACTACGACTTTGAGACTTATGACTTCACAGTCGTTTCAAGAATTATTTCACAATCGCAAATATGAACTTTTTCAGTTAACTTGATTTTTTCAAATCAAATGGAGTGGCTCGTCTGCTTTTTGTGGAAGATCATTTTCTTAGGAACAATTTGATGCCTCACACTTTCACTTTATTTTCTCTATTTTTCTGAATAATTGCAAGAAAGTCGCAAATTAGGTCATTGAGGTTATACATTTTCAAAATGGCCTCCTCCTTGATCACGGCAAAGTTGAACTTTTTCAATTGTTGTGCGCATCACGTTCATTAGCTGTTCCATAGTGATGTTCTGGAATGCCACCCTTACTTTATGCTCTAATTATTCACGAGTAGTTGATGTTGTATTGTAAACCTGATTTTTATTTGTTCCTCCGAGAAAAAATCTAACGGAGTAAGATCTGGTGATCTAGAATATGAAAAAGTAATACATTTATGTAAAAATATGACAAGTCAACTCAGTGGCCTCGCAGATCACTGAATAGATCCATAAGTGCCAATCCATTTTTCTGGGAAGGTGTCATTCAGATGTTCTGTTATCTTACGACTTGAGAATTGTCAGGTGGCGCTCCATCTTGTTGAAAATAGATATCAACTTGGTTAGCCAGTGGCGAATCTTCAATGAAACCATTAATTTGATTTCTAAGGAACTGTAGATATGTTTCCGCAGTCAGTTGTCCGTCGAAAATTATTGGCCCCAAAAGTTTTCCTTCGATAGTACCCATCCAGCAGTTGAAACCAAATCGTTCTTGAAAATTTCCTTCTTGCATCAAATGTAAATTTGTTTTAGGCCAGTACCTTTTATTATTCCTATTGAACATACCCAAGTTGGTGAATCGGGTTTCATCTGAATAAATAATTTTAAATGGAAAACGTACATCTTCTCTGTATTTAGTCAAAAACCAGTTGCAATAAGTCAATCTTCGGTTGTGATCTTACCAACATCTTTGGTATAGTTGGTTCTTGAATGATCGATAATTATATTTGTGAAGAATCCTCCACACACCCAGAAACAATTTGGCGAATTGACACTGTACAATTCACTTCAACATAGGCCAACACGTCTACTTCTTTTTCTTCACTGACGATGACGTTATTGTCATTTTCTTCTGATTTATTTCGCATTTTTCTTTCCAGAGAGGGACGGCGACGATTAGGGAACCTCTGAGCATAAATTCGAGCTGCATCAGCTGCATTCTCTTTTGTTTCTCCGTAAATTAGCAACATGTCAATTTTCTCGTTTCTAGTATAATTTGCCATATCTAATTATAAAGTCCACAACAAATTAATTTTTAAAATTGACAGCATATTCATAAGCCTATTTGTTTAGGTTGTCCTAGCAACAGCTTCAATTGTTTGTCACGGATAACTAGAATAATAGGACTTAGTGCATAAGTAGGTATCCCGAATACGTATTATTTGTTATTAGGTATGATCGTTTCTTGCAATTATTCAGAAAAATAGAAAAAATAAAGTGAAAGTGTGTGGCATCAAATTATTCGTAAGAAAATGATCTTTCACAAAAAGACGACGAGCCACCCCCTTTCCATTTGAAAAAATCAAGTTAGCTGAAAAAATTGATATTTGCGACTGTGAAATAATTCTTAAAACGGCAAGCCTCAAAGTCGTAGTTTTCCAATGTTAGGTACTTTATCAAGAATGAAGCAATTTACACGATCCATGGCATATTCTATATCAAAACATGAAAATTGGAATAAATATGATTTTATTTGTCAAATATTGACAAGTGAAGTATTGTTGGATTTAGAATGTCATTCTCGATCGAAATAAATAGAAATATATAGGATGTCAAATTTCCGGTTGAACCGGAAGTACGGCAAAGCAAGTAAATATGTCGAAAAATGTAAATTGAACTATAATACACAGCCCCCAAATTTCGTTTTTCTATCTCTAATAATAAAAAAGTTATAGGGGTGAGCCATCGTAGAGAATCACTCGGTATATAAATTTACTGGTAATATTTAAAATTTAAATTGAAATTAAAAAGTTTTTTTCATAACCATTATTTAAATTCAGATAAAAATGTAGAAAATACTGAAACACTTCAACTCTCGAGATAGTCTTGAACTCTTCAACTGAAAATTATAGTTAGGGAAATATTCTGGAGTTTTTAAAGTAGATCAACACTGTTCTCATGAACGTGGAAAACATATTTACGAAAGAACTTCTTGGCTTTTTACTTCTACAAATTTATATTCTACTCTATCTATACGACTNAATATGTGGAAAAGTTTCAGAGAAAGAAATAAATGATTATTTTCAAAATGAACTCTTTACAGAGTTGTGTAGACCATGCACACAGACGTTATTTTCAAATAAAAACTGAGAGAAAAAGTCAATTCCAAAGAAGTACTTTCAAACATATGAACATGGAATTGCACGAAAATATCTTTTTTCTATTCAGTTTCTTCAAACATTGATAGTAAAAGTTATTGGAAAACTGATTTTGGGTCATTATACTCTTAAGTCAATTATCAACGAAACCGCCTTCACTAGAATATGAAATATTTAAACGAGGACATCCTGTTTCTGTAATATTTGCCAAAAATCACCTTTTTCAAGGGTCAATATTTTACATCGTCGTTCAATCAAATCTCTAGAACAAACCAACTTATTAGAGTCCGAACAGGTGGGAGACAAGGTTGATTTGTAAATCGTAAGTACGTATATAAATCCACCGTTGTACCAGCATTAACTGAAGTGATTTTTCTTTCGATCAACTAACTTCAGTGTTTTGTGCACAGTTCAATATGAAAATAACAGTAAGTAAATGTTTTCTATGAAAAAACACGTCATAACATAGAGAAAATACAAGAACGCAAAATAATAATGATTTAAATTTATAGGCACTCAATATTTTTCATACCAATATTTCAAGCCTATAAAGAACAATTAATCCGAGACGAAATATTTACCTAATTGAGCAATGAAAGCCATAGCGAAAATATTTTTCCTAGTTTTTGATGGCAAATCATCTCATTTAGATATATTATTTTTCTTTCTTTTGGTACGAAAATATTCTCTTGCATATTATATTTGATGGTGCATCTGTGAATTTTTAGTTCAGAAAAGTGAAGATATTTGGAATTTTTGGAATTTTCGAAACATCATGCAGCCTAGTTTTTGATAGCAAATCATCTCAGAGTTAGATATGTTATTTTTGTTTCTTTTGGTACGAAATACTCTCTTACATATTATATTGGATGGTATATACATCTGTGAATTTTTAATTCAGAAAAGTAAAGATATTTGGAATTTTTGGAATTTTCAAAACATCATACAGTACCTAATTGAGCAATGAAAGCCATAGCGAAAATATTTTTCCTAGTTTTTGATGGCAAATCATCTCATTTGGATATGTTATTTTTGTTTCTTTTGGTACTAAAATATTTTCTTACATATTATATTTGATGGTACATCTGTGAATTTTTAGTTCAGAAATGTAAAGATATTTGGAATTTTTGGAATTTTCAAAACATCATGCAGCATCTAATTGAGCAATGAAAGCCATAGCGAAAATGTTTTTCCTAGTGTTTGATAGCAAATCATCTCAGTTAAAAATGAATTTTTTTCTTGTTACGAAAATATTATTCCACATAATATTGAATGGTACGTACATTTGTGAATTTTTATTTCAGAAAAGTATTTTCATTTTAGGAATTGACGAGTGCAATAAAATTCAAATATTAATACCCTCTCATTGTTATTCTTATTCACGATTTGGTATTGGACCAAGTTTATCTTTTACGCATTACAAGGTGATATTTTACAAAATATAGTTGTGTGTTTCAAATTACATGATAAAGTCAAATATTTTCGTACTTATTCAAATTTTATGTTGAAGAATCTCTGTCTAAAGCCTGTTTTCGGATTATCTCATTGCTTTTATCTGATTAAATAAGTTTTATATTTTCATAGTTTGAGTTTTGTGTGTTGTAATAACTACGAAACAAAAATGTTTTATTTCTTTGACTAGATATAGATTCATTGACACGGCATAATACATTTTTATGAACTTTTTGAGTCGTCTATGGAATAGGTATCTAATCTGATAGATTTCACTTCAGGATTTCATAGGAAAGTAGCTAATTTAACCCCGATACTATAACTGCTAAATAAATCTGGTTGGCAATATGAAGTAAGCTCTTACATGTAGATTGCGTAGAGGGTGTTCAATAACTTTAATTTTTTTTTTCAATACCAGTCTCAAAAAACTATCATTACGAAAATTTCTACTTTTTATATTTTCAATAGAATTGGTCACCTGAAGATATATTGAATAGCTTCGTACTTATATCACCCAGAGAATTGTTTTTGATTTAGAAATTTGATCAGACAGCTTCAATTGTT